GCCAATCGTTGACTTATGAGTCAATTCTCGAGTGTTTTGGCCAACAATTCCGGTCCAAGAAGTCCTTAAAATGCAATTACAGTGAATGCGATAAAACTTTCGGCACTCAAAGCCAGTTGGAGGGACACAAACGCCGCAGACATGCCGTACAAGACATCACTCTTCGGGAACCGATTGTTAGCTCAACCGATGCCAGAGACCAGTCGACGCCAGCCGCAGATGACGGCCAACAGCGGCAGCCAATGGCCACTACGGCTGTCCCACCAATGGTGCCGACATCTGTCACCACTTCCAGTTACGATACACAAGCCCTGGACAACACGTGCGATGAGTATGTGTTGTGTTTTAACACTGTTTTCAGTCATTTACTCAATTGTTTATACGTTTAACGCAGACATACTGAAGACATCAATTTATTCATACAGATATAAATAAATTTAAATGTGATTTCAATAATTGCAATAAAAGTTATGCACATTATCACGATTTAATTAAACACAAGAATAGAGTCCATTTGAATCTTGGTGAGCAAATACGGTGTTTTTGGCCTAAATGTCAATACAAGACAACATTTAAGCCAAATCTAGAAATACATCAATTGATTCATTTAAATATAAAACCATTTAAATGTGATTTTAATAATTGCAATAAAAGTTTTCAACAAAAATCACAATTAAAACAACACAAAAATAGAGTTCATTTCAAAGTGAGATTTATATGTGATTTCAATGAATGCCACAAAAGTTTTATCGACAAAATAAATTTATTAAAACACAAAAGTATGTTTCATTTGACTGGGAAAACAAAATTTCACTGTTTTTGGCCTAAATGTCAATTTAAAACTATCGACAAACATCGATTAGCCTATCATCACCATGGACATTTAAATATAAAAGAATTAAAATGTGATTTTGATAATTGTCATAAAAGTTACAAATATATGAATGATCTTAAACGCCATAAAGAAAGTGTTCATTCAAATGCGAAATTTATTTGTGATTTCAATGAATGCCACAAAAGTTTTACAACAAAACACTCTTTATTTCATCACAAAAGATGTGTTCATTTGAATGAAAGGAAATTCAAATGCAATGAAGAAAATTGTGGCAAAAGTTTTTTATTCAAATCACACTTAAAGTATCACAAATTTTGGCATTCGGGAGAAAAGCCATTTATTTGTCACTTCAATGATTGCAATCAAAGTTTTGCGGATAAATATTATCTCAAAGAACACATCAAAAGACATAATAATATAAAAACTTATAAATGTATTCACAATAACTGTAATCAACAATTTTCTATGAGATACGAGTTAAAACAACATTTATCTCATATGCATAAATAAGCATCAATTTATAAAAATATTATATAAAAATTTTAATATGTACAATTACTTATATCATATTAGATAACAAAAATGTAATAGTTATTTGAGATTACATTTAAGTTACAAACATTCAATCAAATAGTTTACATAATTTTAATGTAATTTTATTTTAAATATTATCTATAATTTTATACTTTAATTGTAAATAATATTTTTAAAAATTAAGGCAAACAATCGATCTTTGGTCACAATCGTAATGACCACACATTTAAGGCCATAAACCTATTACAGCATAAAAACATATTTGTATAATATTATATAAACAATTTCCATTAAATTAATGCTAAAATTAAAACTAATAATCTGTAAAACTGTATAAAAATTTGCCATAAATTAAATTGGTTTTAACATTATATAAAAATATAATAAAATTGATAAAACTTCAAAATTCTGATTACAAACACACAATTATTATTGACACTCCATAGGCTTTCATATGAAATACAACTTTTAATAATTACTTACAGCCAAATAGTATATAAATCACATTTTATATCAATTTGTATATAACTTTCACAAATGTATTGATAAATATAAAATTAATTATTGAAATATCTGATACTGTATTAAAAAATAATTATTTGTATTTAACATTATATAAAAATATAACAAAATTAACAAAAAACGTAACATTTAACAAAAATTATTATTAAAAATACACAAAAACTATACAATTATTTATAAACTCATTAACAATAGGAAAACAAAACAATTTACATTAAAATGCATTCAAAATCAGTGCATTTTATCCCTTTTATGTTGAGTTAAGGCCTGGGAATTAACAAACAGTCGGCCGCACGTATCGCACGGCTGCTTCGGTAATGTTGGCCGCTTAGGGCCGGTATTGGGCGCCGGAAACGGCACGTCGTGTACTGCCTTTCGGTGGCCGTGAAAAGCATTTGCGGAGCGGAACGTACGGCCGCACGACTCGCACACTAGAGACGGGTTGTGGACAACTCTTTGATGTTCGCGGAGACCCTCATCCGTGCCAAACGCTTTGCCACACGACTCGCACAGGTATGGCATGTCTTTGGGCAAGTGGACAGCTATCCGATGTCTGTGCAGATCGTCACCGTTGGTGAACCCTTGGCCGCAATTGTCGCACCAGTTGTCGGCCAGCCGTGACGGGTGGTTAGCGATCACGTGATGGTGCAGTAGGAGTGCTGTGTCGAAGAGTTTGCAGCAGTCGGGGCACCAATGCTGCTGTTGTTGGCCATCATTGGGCCGTTTGCCACTCGTCTTTGGCCTACACTTAAGGTTGTGGGCCTCGAGTTGACCGGCGCTGAGGATCAGCCATAGGCCGCACCGTTCGCACTGATAGGCCTCATGTGCGCCAACTTTGTGGACAGTCTTGCGGTGAACATCGAGTTCGCGTTGAAAGACAAACACTCGGCCGCAGCTCTCGATATCGCACGAGTGTAATGAGTCCGGGTTTACGCCATTGGCGGCCACTTTTGGCCGACTGCCGCCCGCTTTGTGTCCACTGTTTTCATCACGACTTATATCCGAGAGACTAATTGTGGCAAAAAATTATTTCATAATTAATAACAACAATAACATAACACACAATCAATTAATGGCTTAAATCAATGGCTATAATATACCTGTTGTTTGGATCAGTGGTAGCAGTGATTGAGTGCACCGGTGGGGCAGTCATAGGTTCTACCGGTCTATCATCAGCTACTGTAGTGTTCATAGAAACTGATGCGACAATAACTTCAATGTCACGGTTTGTCTGCTGCGGACTGGCATTGATCGCCGAGTGGACAGTCAGCCGATGCCTTATAAGCAATGACTTTGTGTCATATGTTTTAGTACAGCCGTCGCAACAATACTGT